AATGGTCAACAACAGGGGAATATTTAAATGAACGATGTAACTATAACAATTATGCTAACAAAGACTATGCTGTAAGATAAAAAGTACTTGTGCCTCACTGCTACGCTAAAAACCAGGCTTTAAAATTATACCTATATACAGCCTGATGATCACAACGCCACCTCACAATTTTTCAAGGTCCTAGCCAAGTAAATGCTCAGAGAGAAACAACCCAGCATGGTAAAAGGACTTTCAAGAAAATACACGAAGTATTGTCACAAATGACTGTTTTCCTTCTCTGCCCTAATCTACATTTTCACATTTTCTTTAACGGACATGTACCATATTACTTACACCCTCACAGACAGGAGGGAGTTGTCAACATTCTTGCTATGAATCAAAAGGAAACACCTCTTATATAGGGCGGCCACTGCCCTTGTTCGTGGGTCTCTTAGACAAAAACTGCAGGGTGAAAGCATGTCAGGCAAATCCCCCTCGTCTTTTCTCCGACTTCTTTTTTCCTCGGAATTCCCTTGATTTTCCGAGCCTAAAGAAATCCCACCAGCCCTCTCTTCCCGCCTTTGCACCTGGGATGTTCCCCACCTTACTTGTGCTTTGGGGAGACAGTGTCTCAGGCACGCTGCTCCCAGTCTCAGAGCCCTGAGTCCCTGCTGCCCCCACTTCCCCGACACTCCAAACACTCAGCAAAGGGTTCGGCAGGCAGCCAAGTGTCCTGCTCCAGTGCGGCTCAGGCAGGAGGCACGGAATGAAAGCAGCTTAGGGAAACTGAGGGCCATGGAGAAAATGTGGGAGAGGTTTAGGAAATCCAACAAATGCCTTTTCTTGTGTAATAGTAGTTTCATGAGATAAAGACTCAGACTTGTTTCTTGTATGGCAAATAGGGGGCCTTAACTTCCCGTTCTGGACACATATTGACTGAATGAACAAATGAACGAACGAATGAATGAGGCTTCTTGTTATCCTGCAATGACATAGCTGATCAGTGACTCAAGTGATGGCTTTGGTACCAAAATAAGCCCTGAGATTAAGGCATGCAATGACCCTATAACATGGCTAGTCAAGTGTGGCCTATGGAGGGGCGGCATGACCACCACTTGAGTCTATTAGAAATGCAGAAGCTCAGGTCCCACCCCAGAGCTACTGGATCAGAATCTGCATTTTAACAAGATCCCCAATGATACACATGCATGTTAAAGTTTGAGAAATACTGCCTCGGAGCATACACACATATTCGCCAAGATGAAGCTAGTGCCTCTGCTCTTCTGTACTTCCATCAAACCATCAAGAGGAGTGATGATTCCTCACCACAGGGGCTGCCCTCAGTTCTGGCCTTGCTCCAAACTGTTTCAGGGAGCAGAGCTCACAACGGAACAGACCTGATGTGACTGTCCTAGGGCTCACCACTCTTTAGGGCTGGCCCAGCACCACCCAACTCAAAGGGGAGTTACATGCTAATGCCCTGGTGGTTAAAGAGTGCAGAAGCAACCCAAAAGACAACACAAGGGAGAAAATACTCTTAAAATGAAGTTTAGCCAAGTAAAAGCAAGAGCAATCACTGGCATTTGTGAAACCTATTTACCACATGTGTCTAATTACCATGCAAGACAATCATGATTAAGGAAATCATTTAATATGCAGCAGCTGATTGCTTTGTAAAGGTTTATTTGATTACATGACTGGCAATCCCAAATTTATAGTCAGGGCTAAACTTTGCACTTTTGCCTCAAATCTCCAGGATGGACATGTAAATAGGTTCTCTGCTCAGAACTCGAAAAAGGTGAAAGAGCATTTTACTCTAAAATCTGGGCTGTGGTTTCAGTAAAAGAGAGAGAAAAGATCTTTAAGCACTGCTCAGACTGGGAAGGGGCTTGTTGCGGAGACCAGATTGTACTCATCTTTCTAGAACCCCTGAAGTGTCCCATCCTTTGAGAACTTTTCTCAGAAATCATCACTCCCTATTCTGTTCCCCATGGCATTTTCTTTAGACTTGTATTACAGCTCTTAGGGAAGTAGGAGAACTTAATGCACTAGGAACCCAGGCTTTGCAGCCTAACTGTATAGGTCTAAAATCCCCCTCTGCCTATTACTAGATGTCTGACCTTGGCCACATAACTTCCCTTCACAGCTGTGAAATGCAGAAACCTATAATCATAGGTATATTCTGAAGATTACATGAAACAATGCATAAAAAAATTACAGTGCCTGGCATATAATAAATACTGAATCAACATCAGCTATTACTACTAGCACTTCGCAAAGTCTGGCTTCAATTAGAGTTGGTTGTATATATGTCTGTCTTTCCCACTAGACTGTAAGCAAACTGTTTATATCCCACACATCTGGCATAGGGACTTACAAATGGTAGACACAATAATATTTGTCAAATTGGTTTGAAGGTATGCCAGGAAGAGGAAAGGGAGGGTGCTAGAAGCAAATATAATGTACTTCATGATTTTACCCAGGGCCAACCTTTATAGTGTTTGTTTTTTTTTCTATTACTAGAGTCTATTGTCTCAGACTATGCTATATATAAAATGGGGCTGGGGAAACATTATTTCTGGGCCCAGATGTCCTGTTCAGAGAGTATGAGGTTGTGCTCTAAGGCACCTGAAATCTCCAGCTGTCCGCTGGCTGAAGGGGAAGGGGAGCTGCAGTTCAGCCAGAGCTAGACTGGCCAAACTGGGTGCCCAGGAGTGGGGCCACATCAGCTTTGAATATCACCCACCTAGTAGGGATGCATTTTGTTTTTCAGTGTGTTCTCTTAGAGGGATGTGGTTACAGATTACACAAGAGCTGTATGTGCCAGCAAGAGCTCTACAGGAAACTTAAAGGTCCCCTTTTAAACCAGCCTCTGGACCCTTGGATGAACATCAACTAAAATAATAGTTTATAAATATTTATTGAGTGCCCATTATACGCTAAACATTGCTGCATACAGCAATGTAGGCACTGAAGATTCAAAGGTAAATAAAGAAATTATAGTTGGGGGAAAGGAGAGGCAATGCAGAGGGCAGGAATGTGGAGATGTCTGACAAGCCACCTTAGGCATTAAGTGGTGAGGTGTTGTAGAAACATCCAAGAAAGAGTTAAATCTAAGGCTCAAAGGGGAAACTAACAACCAAGATGAGGCCTGAAGGAGTGATTGCGACAGCTAACATTTATTGAGCATATACTACATGCATAGGCCCTGCTCTGAGAACCTTGCATGAATCCCTCATTTAGTCCTTACAACAACCCTATTAGGTAGATACTATATTCTCTTCACTTTATAGATGAGGAAACTGAGACACACAGTCAGTAAATGGTGGAGGTGGGGTTCAAACCCAGGCAGCATGGCTCCAGACTGAGGGAAAGAAGAGAGTCAGATAGGCTTTCGAGGCAGAGATAAGCTCCTTGTGACAGTCAAGAGGGAGGAAAAAAGTAACATCTTTTTGGGAACTGAAAGTGGCTGGGGGTGGGGACAGAAGCTCAGTGACGACTGGGCTTACTCCGCAGCCTGGAAGGGAAACCAGAGGCAGGGGATTTCTGGTCTAGTCTAGCTGTGTGATTCTTATCACCTAACCCCTCCTGGCCTCAGGCTCTCCCTTTTTTAAGAGGCAATAATGACAATAGCTGGGCTGTACCACAGAGGAGGCCATGAGTACCAAAGGAGAAAAAAGTATGTGAACTTGACAGGAAAGCACAAGTTTCTTCCTAGACTTGCAATTTTATCAGTAGCATTACCCCAGCAGCTTCAAGGTTCTGCAAACCTGGAACCAACGGCGTCCGGGCAGTAGCGAGGGCCTGAGAGTAGAGCAGCAGAGTGAGGGAACGGAAAAGCCAGCGGAGGCTGTGTCCCATCGCCTTCCTCCAGACTCACCACTTACTGTGATCCCAAGGCAAGCCACTCTCCCACCGCCTCAACTCCATCATCTATAAAATGGGGATGGTAACTTGGCACTCATTTCATAAACTGATGTGAGTAATAAATAACACGTGTAACGTGCCGGGAGCTGTTCTAACCACAGAGTAAAGACTTAGTAAATGTTAACGGCTAACATTATTATCCTTATTAAGAAATCCGTTGGCTGCTCATTGTCATTCCTCCGCGTTCTATGTGACAAAAGCGTGTGGGGTTATCAGAAATTAGAAATAGTGAAGCTTTGCAATCCTACACACTCACACTGCTGCAGAGATTCCTCCTGGCTCCCACGGACTGGCAAGCAGCTAGCTTTCCGTCCTGGCAGAAAATGCCCAAAAGAGGTAAAAAGACAGCGACTGCACACCATTTGTGCAAAGCAGGCTGCTCTTGCAGTTTTTAGACAAAATCTAAATATAGTCAGTCAAACACGCCTTGCTTTTTTAAGATAAAACTGTTCTTCAGCCCTCCATCCCCTCTGTCTGCTGCCCCCCCTCTCCCCCCCATACACACTCCACACTCCTCCCAAGAAACTTTCAGTCTTTTGCAAGACATACTCTGGGGTCCTCTGGTGACAGCCTCTGGCCACATTAACTTCTCAGACTCCCTGAAGAGAAGCCTTTGCTAATTTCACAACAGGAAAGCACGCAGGAAATTCGAGAACAAAACAAATCTACAAGCTGAGCCCAGCATCTCCAAGCAAACGCGCTGAGGTCCGGACCGAAGCGAGATGACTCTGGACTATAAATGAGGCAGCTGCCTCTTAAACTGCCAGGGGGACGGAAGAAGTCATTTACCTCTTAAAAAACCAGATCTGAATACAAATAGTAATGAATATTCATGAGCCCCTTCAGCTGCCTCAAGAGCCACCCCCCGACTAGGACTACGAGGCTTTGCTTCTTTAAAAGTTTCCCAAAGCTCTTCCTCTGCCTCCTCTCAGAAGGAGAGGGTGGGAAAGTTCATTCAGGGCTTTCTGCCTCCTGGCCTTTCAAGTACTTGCTTTTGGTCTGGGCTTTAGGTTTTTGGGGGTTGTTGTTTTTTTTTTCTTTCTTCCTCGGTTTTTTTGCTCTTAAGGATCCGGATCGAATCGATTTGCTCTTACCCTTTACATCTTCCATCACTGGCAGCTTTTGTGTTCCTCCTCTTTGCTCTCACTTTTTCAGCCTCTGCTTGCTGTGGTCGGTCCCAGTGAGAGAGGTACTCAAGGAACAGAGATATAACAGACCCTCCGGCTCGTGGGAGGGGCTAAAGCCGCTGGCCCGTTTAGGAAGGAACCTCTAACTCAGTCTTTTTCATTGACTGGAAACGACAGATTGGCCTTGGTGAAGGAGGCCAGCTGCTCATTTCCGTAAAACTCAAGCAGGCTTCCCAGGGTGGTAACTTTGTGCATTCGGGTTCCCGTACCTCTCTCCCGCTCTTTGCCTCTTGCATTGTTACAGAAACCCATCTTCCCCCTTGAGAAATGTACCTCGGCTGCAGGCAAAAAATGCTATTTACTTATTGCAGTTTTGAAGCCAGATAACAGGAAACTTGTTACCTTGATACCCACTGGGAAAAACAGATAACAGGAAACTTGTTAACTTGATACCCACTGGGAAAAACTGGGACGCAAGAACAGTTCTTCCCGCCCTGGGAGGCTGATCACTTCTGGTCCCTGAGGAGCAATCCCTTCACAAGACTTAGACCAGAAGAGCAACGGATCACCCAAGGGATGGACGCAGCAGTGGCCGAAGTCGTGTTTTTGGACGCGCGGCCAGGTGCCACAGCAGAGGAGGCTGCGGGCTGGGAACAGCTCTCTAGCTGTACTGACGCCAGCTGTACACCTTTTTTCCAAACTATGACCTCCTGCCTCTTAAGCCTTCTGAGCAGGAATTGCCACACTCGGTTTTGGCGAGATGACCCAAAGGCAGATAAGAGGATGACCAAAAGATTTTAAAAACTGTATATGAAGTTATTTTGAAATCAGGACAAGAGCTAATCCTCGGAGAGGAAGGTAAGTCCTCAAGTCCCAAGGCTGCCTGGGCAGCTTCTCCCTACAAGAGGCTGTCAGAAACCTTAGCATTTTAGGTTTGAAAGAAACCTCAGACATCTAGTCTAACTAAGGTTAGAGATGTGAAAAAGTTAAGCCACACTTGTTCACAAAGATAAAGAGCAGGTAGATGCTCTCTCTTTATTTGCTCCCCTGCTCCCCAGCACCTAATACAGCTTCTCCCACGGTGTAGGCTCTCAGTAAATATTTGACGAATGGTTGAATGAAGGAATGAATCGCAGCAAAGCAGAAACGTAGATCTGGTTTCTGATTCCCGGTTCGTGTTTTTTCTATATTGCTTCTCCAGCATGAGAATTTCTGTCTAAAGCCAATTATACCATCACACATTTTTTTTTTCACATAAACCAGTAAATTTGTGACCACTGAAGGTTGCATTTGACTCTGTATATAAAATATATTAGCTATACAGTCACACGCCACTTAATGATGGGGCTCATTCAGAGAAATGCAAGGTCAGGCGATTTTGTGCACGTACACACAACTAGATGGGATGGCCTGCTACACACCTAGGCTATATGGTAGAGCCTATTGCTTCAGGCGCAAGCCTATACAGCATGCTACTGTACTAACAACAGAGATTAAATCAAGCACAAGAGAAAATGATGCAATCAAGAGAGGCTCTACACACAGGACATGGGAGGCTGCTGCCGGCATGACACAGCGTACTGCTTTACAGCAAACTTTTTTATGCAAGTAGAAAGCGTACGCTCTAAAATAACAACAAAGGTATGGTATAGTAAATACATAAACCAGTAGCAGAGTTGTTTGTTATCAGTGTCAAGTATTATGCGCTGTATGTAATGGTACATGCTATGCTTTTATATGATTCTCGGTGCATTTGTTTATGCCCGCATCACCACAAACAACTGAGTAATGCATTTGCTATGATGTTTCCATGGTTATGACATCAGTAGGTGATAAGAATTTTTTAGCTCCATTATAATCTTATGGGCCCACCTTCATACATGCAGTCTGTTATTGACCAAAACATTGTTATTTGGTGCATGACTGTACTTTCAATCACTTTTATTTTTTAATAAGGGCAGGGCTGATTTTTTAGGTTAGGCATCTCTGTTGTAACTTTGCACAGCATCTGCTCTATGTATGTGCTCAATAAATGTTTGATGTCTTTATCTGGGTCTGTACAACAAGACTATTTTACTAAATGGCTTATAGTTACAGGACTTTGCATTTATAATAACAACTAATTATAGTAAATGGGGGGGGAAATAATGGATGCCTCCTCTAGAGCCAGTTTAAACTCCATCTCTAATAAAGAACATTTGATATTTGTCCTGTTGTGGTAAAATTGTTTTTAAGTAATATAATGGGATACATGGGAAAACCAACAATTTTTATAATAGGTTTATAACTGTCTTGGCATCATTGTTTTGGAGAAAATTTTGAAAAAGAGCATGTCCACAGAACATCCTGTGAACTACAGAATGGAGAACAGACCATCGAAGCTAAAAGGAGAAAACAGTGATCAAGGGGAAGATCCAGAGTGAGGGAGGGGTGAAGTGAAAGAAACAGACAGACCAGCACCTGCACATGTCAAGGAGAGCCCCACTTTGGGCGCTGGGGCAACAGTTCTATCTCTCAAACAAAATTTAAATTCAAAGACTCCTATCAAGTTCTACCTGGACACTGCATCGTTGACTAAAGATTACTTCGGCAATTGACTCAGTCTCTTTCAATTTCATCATAGAGAAGCTAGCAAGTAAAGTACCCAACTTCTGGTTGCTAGTCATAATAACTAGCAGCACTTCATGAAAATTTTAAGTTCATCAGGTTGAATATACAATAATAGAAGCATAGTTTTAGCCCCCAACTCATGTGAGCCTTTTGACATTTAATGCTTTTATGGTAGCATACTTTGTGCTACAATTTAATCATAGTGTCTGGTCTTCTCACCCTCCTTGGCATCATGAAAACACGATAGTTAAGTAAATACTACTTCTCATTTACTCAAGGATAATTACAAAAGAGATGGGGTTTTTGTGCATCTTTTTAAAAGCCTGAGACTTTATCTTAAAAAAAAAAATTCTAAATCTGAACAAAAAATTATCATTTGTAGTAGGAAATAGAATATAAAAACTTCACTCACAGAGATAAAGGGGCTTATTATAAAGAGGTGAAGCCCTAGCCAGTTTGGCTAAGTAGTTGGAGTGTCCACCCTCAGAGTGAAGGATCCCGAGTTTGATTCCAGCAAAGGGTACATACCTCAGTTGCAGGTTTGATCCTCACCTGGGGCACGTGGGGGAGGCAACCAATTGATGTGAGACACATCAGTGCCCCCCCTTCCACTCTCTCTGAAAAGCAATGGAAAAAATATCCTCTGTGAGGATTAAAAAAAAAGGGTGGGGTGAAGATATTCATCTTTCTTTTAATGATAAAATGATCTTTGATAATTCTTAGAATGTTTAAAGTTTCATTTTTTCTAAATCTTCGTTCTCATTCTGCTGCCCAGATGATCTTTCTAAAGTGTATACCTGATAATATCATTCCCAGGCTTAAAAAATTCTAGTTTCCTTATCACCCATAAAATAAAATTAAAATTCCTATTATGGAATACGTAAGGTCTCTCTCTGCCTCTCTAGACTCATTTCCTGCCATAGATCCCTATACCCTAAAAACAAATTATAATTCCCAACCCATAGTGCTTTCATGACTTTGCATTTACTGTATACAAGTTGTTCCTTCTGCTCAGAATGCTCTTCCTCTCTCATTCATCTGGTCCTCCTACATGTCCTTCATGACTCAGTTTATCTAGTCCTCTGTGAAGCCCTGCCTGACCCCTCTTCAGTCCTTCCCCACTCTCCACAAACACGGCACTGACCCACAGAAGAGATGGCAGTCACGTTACCATGATATGTTACAATTTCATTTGTGTCTCAGACCATAAACCATAGAGTCACGTTTCAATTCTCTGTCCTCACAATCCAGGTCCAATTCTTCAGCAAATTCTTTGGTTCCCATCTTCAAAATATATCCAGAACCTGACCTCTTCTTATTTCTTCCACTGCTCCCAAGCCACATCACCTGTCACCTGGTTTACTGTCATACCCTTCTTCCAGGTTCTGCTCTTAACCCTGTTCAGTCTGTTCTCAACCCAGAACCCATACTGATTCAATTAAAACAAAACAAAACAAAGCTGCCGTTTCTCTGTTCAAAACCCTCCAGTGGCTTCCATCTCACTCCAAGCAAAACCAAAGTCCTTCCAACTGGTCTGCTCCCCTGCACCTCTGCCTTTCCTTCCTACTACTTTCCCCTCCTTGCTTCCTCTGTTCCAGCCCCGGCATCTTTGTACCTGCTGTTACTTCTGCCTAGAACTAGAATGCTGTTCTCCCAAATATCCACACAGCTCATTTTCTCATTCCCTATAGGTCTTTACCTTCTAGTCCAGCACAAGATTGTGATCTCTAAATACTGNTCTCCCAAATATCCACACAGCTCATTTTCTCATTCCCTATAGGTCTTTACTTTACCTTCTAGTCCAGCACAAGATTGTGATCTCTAAATACTGTTTTCCACTAAAATAAACCAAGATTCTTTGGAAAAATGCTGATTTCAAGTCTGAGGCAGGAAGTGTGAAAAATGAGACTAGAATATTTTGTCATACTAGAAAGCAAGGACACTGTCTAAAACTACTAGGGTTGCATCAAAAAGACTCAGGAGCCAACTAGCCAAAGTAGTAAAATTTGAGCAACAGTTAGAAATAACTGAAATGGATTGAAACACATCAGATATGTTGACACCCAGTTGTTCATACAAGATGCTATAAATAAATCATTTCACCTTTGCACCAACTAATTATTCTGAAAACAAGTAAGTAAAAGGGGAAAATAAATGTCAACACCCAACATGCTTTTGCTGTACAAACTGTACCACAAAACAGCCAAATAGTTGATGAGGGCAAGTTTCCTTAAAGTATTCCAGATAATGAAAGAATAAAATTAATAGCATTAGGGCATCACCATTGTACAAACACCTAAGCAAGTAATGAAGCGAAGCAGTAATCAATGACTGCTTATGTCACAAAAGGAAGTGCAAATATTCATTGTAGGTCTGCTGGTGGAAGCAGACACCACACCCTCTGAAGCAGTCTTGCCAAAACTTTGAAGCATCTAGGTGTAACTACCAGTTTACAGGATACAAGGCA